TGATTAACCGTAGCTCCAAGGGGGAGTGTTATAAATGAATAGTGAAGCTACGGTACTGTTCACGCAGCCGGACACTGTTCACGCAGCCGGGTACTGTTCACGCCGCCATACGGTTACTGTTTAGCCGCCATACGGTTACTGTTCATAAATACGTATACGTGAACAGTAACTTCGGATTTTCTATAAATAGCTCATTTCCCTCCTTCATTTGTACATAATTCCAAGAAAAGAAAATTATTGAAATCTTGTTCCTGGGTCTCTCAAACGATCGATTTCGGTTTCTAGTTAACGATCTGATTCTCGGGTCTTCTATATTTCTTCGTTTTTCACAACAGAATAAACAATGTTCCAAATACATATTATTTAGTTTGTGGATGTGTTAATATCTTATGATGTATCATATATATGTGGATATTTTATTACAAATTTATCATTTGCAGAGGATAATAATTAGTTATGAATATGTTGCGTATATTTCAAAATTTTCCAAGTATGATGGAACAAAGTTACCAACGTAGCTAAGTTGAACTATCCATTATATAATTGCGAAATATTTTATATAACTCAAAAACTACATTTGTGTATGTTTTCAAATTATTTTGAAATAGATTGCCAACTTAAAATAATTTAAAGAACACAAACCAAAATTAAAGTTGGAATCTAAAAAAAAACGGATTGGCATGCAAAGTTCGACATAATCAAAACCTAGCTATATGATTAAAAAAATTACCACAGTAAATATAGGTTAATAATCATTACTATTAAATTAAATTATCTATATGCATGTAACCCCATCCTCCCATCATGATCATGATCTGATTTAGTTCTCTTTGTCTCCCTCACTCATGTATGTACGCAAAATATAGAAATAAAAAAAAAATACTTTATAGCACTAGTCCATGCTTATATGTACATTTTATCACATAAAATGCTCGGCACAAATTGTCATTTGACATAGACAATGACAAATAATAATAGTATCATTTTTATCAATATTTAATTCAAAATATATAAATTCAATATAATTATATAAATATTCATTGCAAATAAAGTTTATATTTATATTATAAATCCACTCATGATATATATTTAAATATATACACACGAAATTAATAATATGTTTAAAATTTCATCTTTATCTAAATCTTGCGCAGATAACTTAAAATATAAATAAGAGGAACATGTTTTTATACATGTGAAACATTTCGTCTATATGAACAACTACATACATATATATATAATATGTATGTATAAATATATGATTATATATGTACTTTTTGTGGAAAAGTTAATTACATTTTTTCCGTTGGTGTGGTTAGCTGTCTGAACGAAAGAGACAAAGGGAACAAAAAGGTGGTTGGTGTTGGTAAGTAGAGAAATTTGATTGGAAAATAATCTCGATTATTTCCTTAATTTGATGAACTAATCACTTTTGCTATTTTCACCACATATACAACATCAGTGATCTAATTTATAATTTACATCTAATTTTGTATGGCCACAAAAATAACTGTATAAATTCTTGTCCTGAATATTTCAAATTTATTCAGTTTTATATAGATTTTATTTGGTACATTTAAAAATTGTTAATATGCAATATTATTGATTATTATATTCATATTATATTCAATTCAATTTTGAAAAAAATCACGTATAATGATTTGACGTTCAAACGTTTGGTTCGTACGTAAAACTGCTATTCTAGAAATCGATGAGGAATATATTTTTTTTAAAAGGGGAATATTGTGATGTTGAAAATTGTTTAATGCGTTGGTAAATAAATGAGATAACATCAGTCGGACCAACCAACCACTTGGGCTTACCACAACACCCAACCCAATACGTCACCCAATCGAGGCCCACATCTTCTGGTTGCATTTTGACTTTGTTTATTTAATTTCATATATATATATATATATATTCGTACGTGGGTGTCTTGGGGGCCCCTAACTTGCTTGTATTTCTGACATTAAAGTTTTGTCCCTTGCAGCTACGACACCATCATTTACTCCTTTGCTCGGCATTATATCAAAAATACCCTTAAAATGCTACTTCTACTTCAAGACCTACCCTGGTCATATGTGACCAATGTGACCGAAATATAGTATGGTCACATTTTGATTTTTATCGATTATAACGTTAAATTTATGGTGATCACACTAATTCATTATGTTCATACCTTGTATATCTTACTAATCATTTGATTAAAACATCATAAATTTAACATTATGAACAATGAGATCAATATGTGACCACACTATATTTCGGTCACATTGATCACATGGTCACAAGGGTAGGTCTTGAAGTAGAAATAGCAAATTAAGGGTATTTTTGATAATGACCCCCTTTGCTCCCAATGTGTATATACACGTTCACGCATTTACCTGGATTTTGGTCACCTTTTTTCATTTTTATATTACATTTGATTCGTATCGAATTTCTATAAGATTTTCATTCTAAAATTTTCAATTATTTTAACAAATTTAAATGATATATAATTATTTATAATTATTGATGCTCCGGAACCAAAAAATAGCGACCCTATATATATGCACACACAAACAAACACACGTATAAAGAACACACGTTCTTTATCTGCAATGTACATTACATTATATAAATAACACTCGCATCATCAATTCAAAATAGCCGATTAATAGACTACTCTCTCCTGCCTTTGATTTGGGCCGATTTTACCAAGTTCCCCATTAAACAAATACCCCATTAGCTAAACAATAAACAACCCAATATCAAACAAGTAAATAAATGAAATATAAACCCATCATCAGTCAATGATAATACAAGTATACAAATGTGTATATATACATATATAAAAAAAAGTTTTTTTTTTGGAGAAGGAAGGTGTTAGAAAGAGGAGGGATCAGAGAAATTACCGGAGAGATAAGTCAAGAGGACCAAAACGGAGACGATGATGATAATGTTGAGGAAATAGTTTGTGGGGAGGGGCCTGTTTGGGCTTCCTCCAAACCCTTCGTACTCCGCCCTTATCTTCTGCTTCATCGCATCCGACAGCTCCCTCTGCACTTTCCCACTTTCTTCTTACTCTCACTTCATACATAATGTTTTTATGCCTACTTACATTATATTATGTAAGGTTAGTTTATAGCCACGGCACGGGTCGGGTAACTGTGATTTTGGAGTATCCAATCTCGAACCCGTGTGTCTAGCGTTCCGGGATTCAGAACCCGACGCCGCACCCGTCAAGGTTATACCAACCTTTAGGGCACTAATACTATATCTATGTATATATATATATTAGAGAGAGATGGGTTAGTCAAGGTTATGCTAACCTTTCCTGTGGAGTACTTGGCTGCGACGAACTTTTCTGCAGGCTGTTGCGTGGGTTCACTGTCGATGATGATTCCCTGATTGATTTATCATTTTATTTTTACAAATTATTAGCTCTCTAACTAAAGAATAAACATTCAAAGAATCATACGTTTTTATAAAGGAAGAACCCATCGTATATGCAACACAGAATGTTGTGCCATTGTAAAACATCATGGTCCAAAACTGCCTTTAAAGTTCATTCTCCATTAGATTTGATGTAGATATGGTTACTTTTGGAAAGTAATGTGTGTTTGGTCTTTTTCTTGTACCTCTGGAGGATCGAATTTGGCCCCGAGATCGCTGAGCTTAGCATGAGCTTCGGCATAGTCCTTGAAAAATGCCGCCTGATCTTCCGCATATTTCTCAGCATAATTCTGCAAATAGTTATTAACAATTCGGCTTAATAAAAGGGTCATCATCTTGGTATCTCATAACTAATCACTATATATTTTCTCTCTTTTAACCTTGAAGGAAGGGTCTTCGAATAGCGCAGCATCAGTGGGTAAAACGAGTAGATCTTCATCCCTCCTCTCCTTGATATCCTGCAAGTAAGGACCTCATAATTTATAAGATAGCGGGAATCGTTCCCGTACCCGAATTTCTCGTAATTTTCTTAATCTACCATATCTATATGTAATGAGAAAGCTAGACCTTGAAGTAGGAATTATCGAATCTTAGCCATTTCACTGTCCACGACTGTCCTCCTGGTTCTCCAGGTCCATCTTTCTGTCATATAACATATTCATAACACCGAAACACAGATCAGATCTTAAGTAAAATAGAAAGAAAAGAGTTCAGTGTTGATGGCCAATTCTATCTTTTAATACCGTGTATTTCGTCTCAGGTTTGCCCCAACCGCTCCGTTCTGTCCTGGCTCTTCCTAGGGTGTGTGCACCTGATAAGGCTACTATTTCCTGCTTAGAAAACAACCTAGAATGTAGAAATCAGACGCATTTTGTTCGGCGTAAATAAGAGAGAAGGAAAAAACTTACCTTGTCATTTAGTCCCATTCTGTAGAAAACGTCTCTCAAATGATCAGCAGGTGAAGGGGGTCCAGCATCTAAACATCGCATAATTCACTTTTTTTAGTCCAACGATCCACATCAAATTTGATGAAGTCGCTAAAGCCGGTGAAACTGGAAAAAGTAATATAAACTAACCAGGGAGTCTCCCTTCTTCTGGACACTGGTCAGGTCCAGATACATCAACTCTCCCATACTTCATTGGGATTTTCGGACCACCGGCCTCCTGTAGTTTTTTAGGTTTGTTAGTGGAGTTGTAGATCATTATAAGGACAACGTAGTTTATCTGGTATAAGCCCGACAACAGTATTGCTCAAAAGACGACCTCTATAGCGGTGGCACTTGCCAACTGGAATAAGTCTGCATATGATATTCCTGAATACTTGTCTTTGATAGTCTGAATGAGGTTTAAAGCATTTAAAAGACCTGAAAATATCAAGTATAACATAAGTGTAAGAAAAAGGATCATTCTAGACCACAATGCATGTGATGGAACCAGTACCAGCATTGGCAGCATGTTTTAGCTCAACCTCGAATCTAAGGCTACCGTTAGCTCCGCCTCTCTGTGGCCATTCCTCAATGTTCTTGTTATATGTACCGGCATCATGCCATCCCAACCGAACCTGCAATGCAAATGTTATCTTCTCATAGATACCACAGGATGTCAAACTGTTCTGCAGGTTCTACTCTCTCCACCTCTATTCTTTCAAGTGACAAGCAAGAAAGCAGCCTTCAGAAAACCTGATGCCCTTTTTTTGGTCGGTCAATATTTCATGAGCATAACAAAATCCAGGCTCTAGTTACGGGGATCCTCTGCTTATTTCGTAGAATCAAAGCATGGTTTCCGATACTTGTTTTTGCACCAAACAGCAGTTTAGCAGCCATAGTTAGTGATGAAAACCACAAACCATCATCACCTAGGTTTCCTAATTGCGCACCCGAGCTCATCAATCTGGCAACACTTAGCTTGTTTTTCTCTCGTTTCTCTCGACACACTGATCCAGTCACATCTAATGGATAACAACGAGAAGCGCTTTACTGACACGGCTTGCGGGCACAAATGATCCAGTCTCATCGCCACTCACAATTTTCCACAATCAAGATGTTTGAAGCAACAATATGCATCCCACGGATCAGAGACATATGCAAATATGAAGAAAGGCATTAAAAGTGAGAAGAAGACGATGATACTTCACCATAATCGGATGGCAAAACTTGGTCCGGAGAAGCTCTTTGATATCTTCTTTAGCGCTCCTCAATTGAGCTGCATCAGAAGCTGCACATTTCGGGGAAATCCACGTCGGATAACCTCTGCTCGTCGTGTAAATGGAAGATTTCTTCTGAAATCACCAGAAATTATGAAACAAAAATGCTCAGGAAAACTAACAAAAACATCAATACAAACGAAATTAAGGCAACATGATAAAGATGAAACGTCGATCAAAAAGTAAAGGCAACGAAGACCAAAACACACATGAAACTACAGATATGCGTGCAATGTATTTGCGTATATGTGCAAAACAAACTTGTTTATAGTACCTGAATGAATAATGAATGAGAGATCAGGGAAGAAGAGCCGATACTTCCGAGAGCCAAGAGAGAACGGTAAGAGGAGGAGGCGAACAGAGAAACTCTGGTGGAGGAGGGATGGCGAAACTGAGGGGAGACGGCGGCGGAGGCGGCGAGAGAAGAAGCCATTGTTGCGGCGGAGAGAGCGCGTGGGATTGTGTCAGTTACACGTGCTGCCAGATGGAGCTCTTTGTAGTCGCTCACTCCTTTCGTGTGGATAATGAAATTATCGGCTGTTTTACAAATGAGAAGACCCCACGCGCGTTATCTCGCGTGTTTTGCACGCCAAGCCCCCCTCCCACCGGCAGATTTTCATTTTTATTTTTAAAGATTTTTTTCAAAGGTAGAATTTTTTTTCCATGTATTTATCGATCGCAATATTTAAAGATGATTTCATTTTTTAAACAATTATATCATTCAATTTTTAAATTTAATTTGATTGATATATGAATTTCACTCGTATTCAATTGTTTTGATAAAAAATAAATTTAAAAATTCAATTTGTTTAGAAAAATTAGATTTATCCAGTAGATTTAGTTTGAGTGAGAACCAAATTCACAGGAGTAGAGTCAGAATCTAATATTAAAAAACCCAATTAAATCGAGATAATATTTACTAAAAAGAAATTGAAGCCAAATATAAAGGAAGTGAGATCAGAAGGGTCACCTCTGACCAAAACATGGACAAAGATCGAAGCATTCTCGAATACACGCATTTCAAAACTCGACACTGCAACGAGAAGGAACTCACAGCACTTTGCGCTGTTTCAGTTTTCATCCCAAAGCTCCGAAACACAAAATTGAGGAGGAATAGCCACTCCACTCCACTCCACTCCACTCGGTATATACATGTGTGTATATGCTGCTTCTATACATGCGCTCGGACTTCGCCTTAGGCTCCTCCTGCACCATCAGAAGCATTAAACAGAGGGGGCTCGAGATGGGCAGAACTCTCAAGGGGTATCATCGGATGTTCGACAAGACCACTCGATTTCGATTTCGAGAGACCTTGAAGATTCATCTTTGTTGCTGTCCTGATGGTTCAGGCTTAGAGATCCACTGTACATTCCCTCTGTCACAACTTTGTCGATCCTGATGGTCACCCGCCCTAAAGTCGTCTGCACACAATTCGACATATATATACTCTGTTTAGAAAACAAAAATAAACCTGACAGGATGATATATGAGCTTTATCTACCAACTAAATATCGTGGGCTTGATATAGTAAGAGTGTCCACAAAGGTCGAGTACCCGAGATTTTCGGATTAACCGAACCCGATTTTTGGGTTTTTCTCACATTAACCTGATCTCATCTACCCAAAATTGAGTTTTTTTTTTTGCCCAGTCCTACTTGATGGTATAAACTCTGGGATGTGATTCTAGATATAGCTACCAATGTCAAGGCATGAAACAGACAGTCAACAAGAAGGCCAAAGAAAGAAGCTTCTTGTTACCTTTCCGAACGTGCTTTTGCTCTTGCATATAATGTAAAGCTTTTGTCCTTTCGGAGGCACATCAAATGCCCATGTAAATCCTTCTTTCCATTCTGGGGAAACGCTAGAGTTCACAACCTACACGGAAAGCGGGACATGGATATGAATCTATATGAATAGAATTTATAACAGGGCCTCGAAAAACAAGCATTTTTCGATGGGGTGAATTATAAACCCATAGAAGGTTTCATGGCCAAGAGTAAAGATGTCATCACTAAACAAAAAAGAGTTGTGAGGAATGGTGAGAAGGGTCGGGTCATCATATAGTCTGGGAAGAAAAATCGGTTTTTACCTTAGTTTGTCGGGGAGGACAGTTTCCAATGGTTAACTTACAAAAGGCATTGGTGGCTCCCATCGACTGCTTCAAGTTATTAGCTCGCTTGATGTGTACTGTCAGACAACCTGGTAAGCTGTGCAGTAAACTGTCTGCCTTTTCATGGAACCTAGGAGGGCAAGTTTTCATCCGCATTTGCAGAACAGGAATGACTTCCGCTGCAATCATAGCTTGCGACTTTGCAATATCTATGTGCATATTTGACCAGGAGTGTTTTAGCAAGTAGAGAATATCCAATGCAGATTCCTGGACATCTTCAATGCCCGATTTGAGCACCGCTACCAAATGAGGGATGCAGAGAGTAGCAGTTTCCGAGGCACGGAGCTTCGGGAAGTTGGAGAAGATCACATTTAAGGTTTTCAAGATTTCTACGTTGATGGTTTCCGAAGACCACAAGCCTCTTTCAAGTGCAGCTGCTCAACCAAGAAATGACAAAAGATGGTGATAAGAGCAAAGAATTCGGTAAAATAATTGATGTAAGAGCGAAAAAGGGAAGATTGAAACAGAAAAGTACCAGTTAATGATCTGATTAGCTCGTTCGAGACATACTCTTGGAGTGTGTGGTTGGAGAACAAAAACTTGACCATCAACGCAGCCTGCCCGGAAACTTGTGTGTTACTGGACAGCAATAGCTCCTGAATCAACAATATGCCACCCGCTTCCGCAACAGCTCGCCTATTCGTTCGACTGTGCATCACAAAATTCTGCAATGCACAGATGGCCACCATTGTCATTTCTTCGGTTGGCTGTTCTTCCAGTAAGCTAATCAGCGCCCGGCAAGCTGAAACGGAACCACTAGATCTAGCAAGGCCTTCATGCTGGGAAAGGTCCCCAAGGGCTAGGGCGGCAAGAAGTCTTGCAGGTTCTGATCTGGTCAGAGGGTCTAATAGATATTGCGATAAGGGGGATATTGCGTACTTGCAGATCTTCAATTCACGTACCCTTGGATTGTTAAATATCACTTCGAGTAAGCTTCCCGATTCTTCTTCGCATTGATGAGATCTCAAAAGGTCCAACAATGCGTCAAATGCACCTAACTGAGCCATTTGTACAGCACTTGAAGCATCATTTTTTTCATGAACCATCAATGCCTTAAGAGCCACCATCACAGTGCTCTCCATGGTCGAGAACAACATTTTTACAAGCACCTCTAGTGAAACTCTGAAATAATACTCTACATCCGATTGCAGAATGTTGGAGAGAACAAAAGCAGCTGACTCCCATAACGGAAGAGGCGGATGAGGATCTTCCTGGAGAATAACCTTTGAGAGCTCGAAAATACCTCCGGCATCAAGAACAGCTTTTGGCCAGGTAGCAGAGATATTCTCTAAAGCCCTGATCGCAGTTTGCTGCAGAGAATGTATTCCGATTCCCGCAAGCTGCACTAGAGGTACAACAGCATTCTGTGTTGTGATGTCTTGCTGGAAATCTTCCATCGAGAGGAAATGACTTAGCAGTTCTGCTCCAAGTTGCTGGATCGCTTGAGAAGGAGATTCCAAAAACGAAATCAAAGGCACAATGGCTTCAGCTGGCGTAAGATTAAAAGCTGCAAGGCTTTGAGGCCTCTCCAAGATATTTACAAGTGCTTGTAAGGCACTGTGTTGCCCCCACAAGGTCAAGTCTGATCGAAGCAAGACCTTGAAAAGAGGCTCTACGATTTTAATGGCATCCGGGCTCTTAGCAATTGCACCACTATTGGTTAAAATGCGAAAAAGCTCTGCAATTGATGCACATAATGAATTGGGTGCTCCATGTAGTAGAAGCTCAAGACATTTCTCAATTATTCCAGCTTTAACCATGTCCAGCTTGTGTGGTGTCCGGTCTTTCCCCAGCTTTATTAGACTTGATAAGCTTGCCTCTATAAGCCTGTGATTTGACCCGGAAACAAACACAACAAGGAGATTCAGGATATCCTCATGCACTGCCACAAGCTCTAGCTGTTGCTCGTCATCCAATAATCTCTCGAAAGCACAAACTGCGGCTTCCACTGCTTCACTTCTATCAGACTGCATAAGTGATATAAGTGGTTTCACGCATTCACTAACGAGTGGACATGTTCTGATGCTTTTATTAGAGAAGACAACGGAACAAAGCCTGGCAGCATTTGTCTTTAACGCATCCGAAGAGGAAGCAGAACATAAGATTCTGTTCATGCTCTCCAGCAGATTTCTTTCCAAATCAGCCAGAAGAGATGTATTCGAAGTGTTTTCCGAAGTAAGTTTGATTAGAGCAGAGAGAGCAGCCTCTTGCTCGCTCTCTGATACAGTACTGAGCATTTCCATCAGTGGTTGAACAGCCTGCCATGCTAATTCAGAATTTCTGATGTTTTCAGCGTCGAAAAGTTCATTCAGCGCCCCAGCAGCGCTGTATCTAGCACTTCTTGACCCCAGATGCAGGACTGCTATGAGCTGATTCAAGGAACTCACGGCTGCTTCATTTTTTTTAATCTCGTGATTGCTAAATAATATCTTCAACAATTCAGATATGGTGAACTCCGTAGAATCTTGAGGGCTCAAAGAAAGGTATTTTCCTAAAGCTTCCACAGCTCCAGCTTCAGCCATGAATAACTTATTTACGTCGCTTCCATCAGCAATGCAGGTCAAGATTTGAATAGCAAATTGTGGGGCTCCAGGCCGATCAGGAATTGGCCGTAAGAGATCTACTAGCAGCGGGATAGATTTGCGTGCAGTAGAGCCGAGTCTTACATCTTCAATTTGAAAGAGATGCTGAAGAATGACTTGATCAGGCTTTCTCGCAAGAGAAAATTCTTCAGATAAGGCAATGAAGTTCATCATCTCGGACTCCACAAAACCAATTAGATTTATTATCCCAGAGACCGCACCTGAGTTTGCAATTGTCAGGTTAATTCCTTTGTTTTTGTGAGTGACAAGACTAGCCATTGCCTGGGCAGTGAAGTATCTATCCATCAGTTCATCAGATTTTAGCAAAAGAGCAAGTGATGGAATGATGCGCATCGTTGTTTGAGACAATAGAACTTTTTCATCCCGAAACATGATGGCCAGAAGCAAGGCGCTAATCCAAATGCCTTCTGTATCCTCAAATTCAGCCTGTTAACATATTACCCATCTCAACATTAATAATGAAGTGGAAAAGTTCGGATGAGGCATTTATGCCACAAAAGCAATAATCAAGCCAAGCCTAAAAGAATCTTAAGATCAATGATAGCAAACAATCCATGTTTGATCGATAGATGCACTATACATGAACAAGAGATCAGTTTCCGCATACTGTCTAACCAAAACAGAATCCCTCAACTGAAAACCCGCAAAGCTACATTTTTCAACTCACATCTTGGCTTCTCATATTTTATCACATTTCCAATTTAAGTACCCTCTAGGAGAGATGTCGATCACTAAAACACAATATGCTAGATTCGGCAGAATGCACGATGCAGTAACTCATAGCTTTAGTTATATAATTGGATGATTTTGCCCATCAATCAAAAAGGGACATGAAAAGAGAGGAACAAAATAATTTCCTGATGTCAAACAAATGCTTTAAGAATTTGTACCTGAGGACTGGAAATAAACCTAGCAAGCTTCTCAGAGAGAGCCTCAAGTCCACCAGCTTCCATGACAATGAATTTTTTCTTGGCATCAAACGAAGAGAGTATGCATAGCAGCCACAAGGAAACTGTACCACCCAAGATTCTAGCTGGATCAGAAAGATAAAAATCACCTGTCTCCTGGAACACATTTTTTTCTACAAAACCGTTACGTGTCTGAATTTCAACTTCTGAAGGAGAGCAATTAGAATTCTGCTTCACCATATCTACCAAGGCATATAATAAGGGTTTTGAAACCCGAGATTTATCGAGTGCGTCAATTGTCTGTTGTTTGTTTCCTTTTGCAGCACATAGGAGCAATGTCGCCCCTCCAACTCTCACTTCTAAGCTGGACGCATTCATGATTCTATCGGCCAATGAATATATCGACTTTGACCTTGTAACCAAAAGTCCACTGAGCACAACTTGTTGATCTGAGCAAAGCCTGGAAAGGATTTCTATGGCTTTCTCTTGCACCAGAATATGGCCTTCAGCAAGGCACTCTACAAGAGTCTCTAAGCTTGATGGAACTTCAGCAATGGCAGAACAGGGCAAGTAAGAGAAACCCGCCCCAGGCTTGGCCCTTGCCAAGAGAGCAACTACTTCTAATATGTCGAAAGCATCGGTGGAATCCATGTCGATTGATTTTAGAAGATCAACAAGGGAGAAAACAACAAAACGACACTGAGCACTTCCTTTAATCACATCATATACTGGGAGATACTTAAGTAACTGATGAAGAGCCCTTGATGCATTCTTTTTACCTTCTGAAGTTCCATCTGCCAAAATTCTGGTGAACGCTGAAACAACATCTTCAGCCACTGCTTCTGCAGCAACATCTGGATCAGATAGAAGATTTGCCAGGGCAGACACAGCAGTTTCAGCAGACTCAATCGAAGAGTGCTTTGCCAACTTTATCAGAGGCTTGACATCTTCTTCTGCAATGTAAGACTTCTTTCTATTAGCACTTCTTTTCACTGGGCGGGACAGTGCACCCAATGCCCGAGCTACCTGTTTCGCCACATTCTGAGTATTATTAGTAAGGAGTTTCATCCAGGGACTAATTATGTCATCAGTCGCAAGATTATCACAGATATCTTGTCTTGAACTGAACAGATCAGCTAAAACAGAAGCAGTATGCTCCTTAGTTTCCTCATTTGATGATGTTAGGGACTGGACCAGGGTCCTCAGTCCTTTGTTAGCAGCAAACCCTTCAAGAACAAGATCCTTTTGCGGCGCTTTTGATAGCACATGACCCAATACCTTTACAATATGAACCTTGGAAATGGGAGTCTCCCCAAGAAGTAGTGCCAATAACTGATTAATCATGGTAGGATCAGCTGTATGGACAAGTTTCATAAGCGTCTTTGCAGAAGTTTCCTGAGCCTTTGGTCCACCGTTCTTTAGAAGCCACAACAATGCTGGAATACCGCCAGCTCTTTCGATACAATCACGGATGTCCTCACTGTGACAGCACAAATTCCAGAGATTGCGTACAGCATCTTCTTTTGCCTTCTGAGATCCAGTCTCCAGGATCTGGACAAGTGGAGGAATCCCACCAGCTGCAGTTACAGCCCATTTACTATCATCGACCTGTTCCGTCAAGATTGCCAACATTTCAACGGCATACTCTTGGTGCTGCTCACTAGACAGGCCTAGAAATGATATAAGTAACTGAATCCCTTCTCGTTTCCCAACAGCCTCCCAGATTCCTGTATTACCATGGCATAAGCGAGACAAGCATATTATTAGATGTTCTCGTACATCAGCAGAAGCCATAGTTATGAGTGCGATAAGGACTCTCTTAGCTTCTGCATCATTCAGATAACGCGATAGACTATTGTTTCCATACAAGCTTGCCATAGCCTCCAAGATCCGCTCTTGGATTAACTTAGTGTCACGGGGCTTTAGTAACTTCACCAAGATTCTCTCTATCGCTCCTGGATCAAATGTTTCTTCATCAGTCCCTGGGTTCTGTTTGAAAATCATCAAAGCATAGGCAAGGGCTCCGACTATATCAGCAACTGGCTCAGCTAGACGACGGGATTGTGATAATTCTCCAAGATATAAAATTAAATGATGCATTCCACTGAATACATTTGCCAATGCTCTAGTCGCATGTTCTTGTAGAGATTGACCATGTTCTCCTTGCATACACTCTTTTGAAGGAGCAACAGTGGCTTCAATCAGAGAATGAACTCCTCCTGCATCTTTAATACTCTTCTTAGCCTCATCGGACCTCGATGAAAGAGCTTCCAATGCCTCTGCTGCACTAGCACGAACATAAATATCATTTGTCTGACCTAGAAGTTGAATTAGAATTTTGACAGCTCCAGAATTCAATATTCTCGGGATGCTATCACAGAAGGATAGTACTAGACGAGCCAGCAGAGAAGCAGCATTGGCCTGAGAATTAGGGTTATCAGAGGACAAGAGAGTCACAACCATATCTATTCCACCACCCTCAAGTGTCACTCTCCAATAATCATCGTTAACGCCACAAAGATTCCTCAAAGCTCCAGTGATAAACCCTTCAACTACTTTATCCTGCTTTGTTTTCACACTAAGTTGATCCCACAAAGTCCGGACTACACCTTCGGTGATAAATATTCTCATACCAATGTGATCGTTGGAAATTCCAGCAGATGAAACCTCATATATAGCCTCTGATGCTGCTTTCTTGGCTTCAACAGATCCGGACTTCAAAATCGAGAGCAATGGCGGGATGCATCCACCTAGAAGCACTTTCAATCGCAAGTCTTTGTCTTTACATAAAACGCTAAGAGTTGAAACAACATTGACTTTTGCCAAAGGCGTTCCATTTCTAAGCATGGACACGAACAAAGGCATAGCTTGGGCATGAGAACCAATAAGTGATCTTCCCTGTCTTCTGCCTTTCGCAATACTTAGTAGACGGCCCGTAGTTAGTTCTTTGTCATGTGGGGAAGATGTTTTTGCATGAAGTTGCTCAATGAGCCGAGCAACCGTAGCCATTTCCTTCTCCGGATCATCCATTTCAATCTTTCTGTCAGATTCCCTGCATGTAATTGCATGGTGACGGTTTCTGTATTTACTTCCCAAGACAACAGCAAATGCAAAAGAAAAACGATTAAAAGACAAAAGAAAAAGGAAGGGGAATAAGATATCAGTCTCTGATATCCACTTAAGCAAGTTTTCAGCAACAACTTCTAAAAGTTCAATAACAGCACAATTTGAAGATTTTGATTGGCCTTCTTTCGAGACTGACTCATCATATGATAAATTTGTTACATTTCGTCATCATATTTCGACCTAAGATAAGAAGTGTCAACCTGAACTGCGACAAGATTTAAAAAAAAAAAAGGATCTTACTTTCCAGGAGAGGAAGACATTGGCCTTTCCATCAACACGCAACTTTGCTTGGCCCTTGGTTTCCTAGAAATGGAAAAAAAAAACTCATCACCCCATTGCCGATTCATCATTTTTTTGGGAGAAAATGACACCATAGACACAGAAAATGAATGACCCAAAACTACATTTGCCATTATTGAAAACAAAACATTACTAAACTCGGCAGAAAAAATAAGGACTCTACACTGAGAAGCTTGTTCCTATCTTTTCTAGATTTGAAATTCCAAATGTTAATCCTTCAAATTTCCGAATTTCTCACCCTCTACGTTGATTAAATCGATATAAGGCATTGTCAGTCTATATTGCAGATGAACAAAAGATTAAATGCTCGGATTCCGTAACAATTCTAAGGATTTCGAAAATCTGACAAATCCAAACAGAAGAATTCACACCTCTTCGGCGGGGCGGATGCCTAAAAACTCCCTCCGCCTTGCAACTAACTCAAACGCCGTTTGGAAAACAAACTCCGAACCAGAATCTGTCGATGTTACACCGACACTAACACGAGCTTCTTCTTCGGCAATCAACGTTAAACCCCGCATACGAAGCTCCGCTTCCCGAAATTGGACGTAATGGAACAAGTGAGATAGATCACATGAAGCTCTACAGATTTCTAGGGCAGGAAAACAAAAGGATCGGTTGTTTCCTTGAATCGATATGCAAATCACGAGAACGATGACAATAATAATAATAACAATGATCGGATGAACGTTGTGATGGAATGAGCGAGAAAATTTTGAAAATTTTCCAGGAAAATTGATACGGAAAATTATCGGCGGATTCTCGCTCGGATAATCAAATGCGAGTCGTCTCGAACGAGGAAGCAGAACGTTCGAGCTTATAGAGAGAGAGGTGAGAGAGAGAGTACAGTCTCTTCGGGTTTTTTTAACTATTTTTTTCATGACACACTTTTTTTTCTTTATTTGTCCGCTTCTTATTTTTTTTTTCTTCCCATTTTTACTTTTCCTCAAGGTTTTTCGACCCTTAATAAATATCATCTTTAAATTAGGAATATCTTTAATAAACATGAATCTTTAAAATAGGAGCAGGTATTTTAGGTTGTTTATTTAGTTTTTGTGGAGTTTTCAGCAAATCCGCTATTAGAAGCGGAGGCTCTCGAAACCTCCCGACGAATCAGAGGGTCTCAATTAGACGGAGGGGCATTTCTGTCTTTTCGGGGTTTGTTTAATGTAACCCTAGGTTTCGTTTCGTCTCTCTCTCATTCGAACGCTTCTTCGTGTTTTACGGCCGAGAGTCTGTCTCTCGTTCCGGCGAGCTCCGCTCGGTTCTCCGGCGCCGTTCTACGGTGTCCGGCGGTTCTGGTCTGTTGTAACCCTAGCTACTAAACGCGGCTTCCTCTTCCCGAGACGTAGGCCCGAGCTTTATGCTCGGTGCTGAACTCGTAACTTCTCTGTGTCGTCTTCTTCTTTCGATCTTGCACACGAGCGTGAGTCGGAGAGAATCGGTGAGGATCTAGTCGATAATCCACTACAAGTGGTATCAGAGCCTGGTTGAAGCGCGATTCGGTGGATTTAGGCGGCGTCTCGGTCATCCAGGTAAGTCTGAGTCTCGGTGGTTTTAGATCTGAGCGTTCTGATGTTTCTTTCGAGTGTTTCAGGGCTCGGAACAGAGAGAGCGAAGGTCAGAAGGTCAGATCGGCGGTGAAAGATCCTGTGACGGAGCTCAGACCGGTGGGACGAAGATCGGTAAGTCTCGGATCTAACTCGAGCTGAGTCAATCAGCCGAGTTCAGAGCCCGAGGAGGTAAGTTGTGCCTGTGTGCGGTTAGATCTAGGGTTTCTGGGTGAAAACCGGTGGAGAACCGGCGATTTTCCGGCGAAATTGGCCGTGACTCGCCGAGTCGCGGCTGAGTCGGAGAATCGGGGTGAGTCAACCACCGGGTTGACTCGGGTGACTCGGCGGCTTCCGCATTCCGAAATTAGGGTTTTCGGTTTAAACCGGTTTAGCCGGTTTAAATCCGATTGAGTAATTAAACCCGGTTCAATTTTTCAATCGAACCGGTTTAGGTCGGTCAGGTCAAACCATTGACCAAAATTGGTCAACAGTTGACCGGTTAGGTCAAACCGGACCGGTTCAGGTCAATTGGGCCGGTTCAGGTCCGGTTTGGGGTCAATTGGACCAGTTCAGGTCAATCTAGGTCCGGTTTAGGTCAATTAGGTCCGGTTTAGGACAATTGGGTCCGGTTTAGGTCAGTCCAGGTCCGGTTTAGATCGATTGAGTCCGGTTTAGGTCAGTCCAGGTCCGGTTTAGGTCGATTGAGTCCGGTTTAGGTCATTCCAGGTCCGGTTTAGGCCAATTGAGTCCGGTTT